AAAAAAAAAAAAAAAAAAAGATGGGCCCCTGCCCACCTCAACCAAGAGAACCCAGAGACCGCTTCAGGGGAGAGTTGGTGATACAGACAGCTCAGGAGCTCGGTCTGTCTGCAGTCCAACAAAGGCTACAGGGGAGGAAGGAACCCTAGAGAGAGGTGGCTGTGGACAGAAGAAGCCTCCTGGCGAGGACCCCTCAATGACAATCTTGATGTCTCCCCTCCGTATGCAACTCTGCTCGGGTCCCTAGCTTGAGCCAAGTAAAAGGACAGCAGATGACAGACGACAGCTCTGAGCACTACTCACAGGGGTCCCGTGCGATGAAGTGTGCTCCTAGGGCGGGGTGAGCATTGGTGGGATTAGGTGTAGCCATTAGCTTGTTCTTGGCCATCTTGGTGTTGGCTTTGGCAAACTCTAGCCTCAGGGTCTGCGGGTTCTCAGGATCAAAGCGAATACCCTACAAGAGAAGGGAAGGAAAGGAAGGAAAAGACTTTGTAGGACCCAGACAAGAGCTCGCCTAGGGGGCACCTGGGTGGCACAGCCGGTTGAGCGAATGACTCTTGATTTTGGCTCAGGTTGTGATTTCAGGGTCCTGGGACCAAGCCCTGAGCTGGGCTCCCTGCTCTGCGGGGAATCTGCTGGTCTCCCTCTCCCTCTGGCCTTCCCCCTGCCTGTGCTCTCTCTCAAATAACTAAATCTTTTTTTTCTTTTTAAGATTTTATTTATTTATTTGACAGAGAGATCACAAGTAGGCAGAGAGAGAGGGGAAAGCAGACTCCCTGCTGAGCAGAAAGCCCGATGCGGGGCTCGATCCCAGGACCCCGAGATCACGACCCGAGCCAAGGGCAGAGGCTTAACCCACTGAGCCACCCAGGTACCCTTCAAATAAATAAATCTTAAAAAAAAAAAAAAAGAAAAGAAAAGAAATGATCTTGCCTAAAAGCCTCACCCATGCAGGGGACAAGACAGATGACGTGCTGCTTGGACCCTGTAAGTAGTGGCATCTGACACAGACAGTGCAGCCAGGGACGTGGCCCCGGAATGGCTGGGCAATGAGGCACATCTGTAGCCCCTTCTCAGGGGGCGGGGGGGGCATGGAGAGTGGGAAGGTTTGCAGGAGGTAGAACAGAAATATCTGTTGCCTAGAGGTCTGCAGGTCAGAGAAAACCTTGTCTACTCACGTTCAAAGCATTCTTGGCTGCTTCTGCTCCTGCTCGGCTGTCAAAGATCACAAAACCGACAGGCTAGTAGGAAGAAGAGAGAACACCCTTGCATCTCTCCCAACATCCCATCTCCCCCTCAAAAATAAAACAAACAAACAAACAAACAAAAACCAACTTCTTGCCTATCTCCTGCCCATGTTTAGCAGGACTAGGAGAAGTTTCTCATGCATCCAAAGTCTCCCATCCAGGCTCCCCATTGTGTGAAAGGGTGCCAACAGAGCTTTATGCCACCACATTAAACATCACACTCTCCGTAAACCTTTTTTTGAAATGGTTTCAAACCTTTTTTTGAAATGCATGCCTGTGGGGCGCCTGGGTGGCTCAGTGGGTTAAAGCCTCTGCCTTCGGCTCAGGTCATGATCCCAGGGTCCTGGGATGGAGCCCCACACCTGGCTCTCTGCTCAGCAGGGAGCCTGCTTCCCCCTCTCTCTCTGCCTGCCTCTCTGCCTACTTGTGATCTCTCTCTCTCAAATAAATAAATAAAATCTTAAAAAAAAAATGCATGCCCATAATTAAGATTAAGTTCCAGTGTTTTCCCCAGCAAGAAAGGGGACACCAACGTATCAAGGACATAAGAAAGCTCCAGGCTCAATCAAGGGGCAACAGGTTGAAAACTTCTCCAACTTCATTCTGGCAAGTTGGCCACATAGGGCCATCAGGAGCCCAGGCACAGCCACCATCTCTGTGCTCTTCAGCCTTGGGGCCAGGCTGCAGCTCCGCAAACGCCGAAGCAGGAGGCCCAGGAGCTGACTGGTAAGGATAAGGGAGCTGGAAGCCACTCTTACACTGGCCCAGCACAGAAACCAGATGAGAGGGAGCAGGTATCAGCTGCCAGATGCCTCAAGATGAGGAAGAAGGCAGCAGGCTCAGGTCCAAGCTTAGCAGTCAGTCTGGGCTGGGAGGAAAAAAACTTTGGAGAGAAATTACCTGTCTCGATGTGAGCTTGATCAGGGACCCTTCATAGCCCTGCAGAGAGAGAGGGTCATCACAGAAAAGGTCAGAAGCCTTCCTTGTGCCTATCCCAGCCCCCCTCCTCCCGCACCCAGCTGCACCATTCTCACACTCCCCCGCACTCCCCACTCACGTCCACCGCTCTGACTTCCACCACTGGCATGCGCCCTCTGCCCTTGTGTTCCCCATCACATGGTCTAGCACACAGGGTGGGCATCATGAGGCAGCATTCATCATTTCACGCGTAAATTCCCGCTTGCTCTGCTAATTTATAATCTGGAAGGACAGACCCTACCTTGTAAAGTTTTCTCAAAACTTCAACTGAAAGTCTACACTGAATCGCAAATATTCCTTATATGGTTAAATCTACCGGGATTCTCTCTCGTTTCCGCTTTACAGATGAGAAAAGAAGGCTCAGAGAGGGCTAAGCCACTGGTGAAGAGAGACACGGGAATGAGCTGAACCAGGACAGAGAGCCAGCTCTGCAATCACAATTTCTGATACGCTGTCCTCTGTCTTTTCTGCTGCCCTGTCCAGGTCAGACTCATTCCTGATGTTCCTCCTCTGCCTATGGGCAGCTGGGTCCAGACTCACCTTGAACGGCCGGAAGAGCAGGTAGAGTTCTCTGGGTTTAATGTCCACAGGGAGGCCACTGACAAATAGTGTCCGGACCTGGGGGACAGAGACCACAGCAGACAGGGTACAATGGCTCTTCCTTCAGGAAGGAACTGGAATCCTTCCAGAGGCGAAGGAGGAATTCCGTGTACCCTGGGCTTCCTTTGGAGGCCAAGGCAAAGGAACACTCTGGAGTTTCACAGCATTTCACTTCTCAAAGCCCTTCCTATCCACTTTGCTTTCTCTGTGTTCATGCCACAGGTGGTCCAACAAGCACCTGCTGACAGCCTCTGTGCACAGACTGAACGGCGGCCAAAGGAGAAAGCCCTGTGTTGAGGAGAGAGCCCTGTGTGATAAGCACACAGATCAAGGATCCCAGAGACTTCCAGAAAGCTATGGTGTCTATACCCCCGAAATTATACAAGTCACAATGTATATAGTTTTCAGAGGGTACCAATGGACCCCTGGTTGAGAGGCTCTGCCCAGACCAGAGAAGACGCAAGGAGGTAAACAGATCCTAAGTCTTAGGCCACACTTCACCCTGGAAGGATTTCAACAGAGGGCCCAGCACGTTCACAACCATCTCCTAGTGCTTCCTACGCTAGACGGAGGCTCTTCAATGGCAGGGACTATGCTGTATTCTTGCCTATATGCCCCGTTCTTAGCATGTGGCTGTATTAAATGTTTACTGAGTAAGGAACCTGGCTAAGGAGTCAGAGAGGGAACAGTTACGCGGGGTTTTGGAGATTGAGTAGGATCCCACTAGCTTCAAGTGAGGCAGATGGCGCTGTTAGAGCCTTGCCCTCACCATGGTGACAAGTTCCTGGTAAAGCCAGGTCAAGACACCAGGGGTCCATCCTGTGACTCTGACCAGCCCTGACCCCTGAGCTGTGGGTGAGGTCCCTGAGAGGCTGGCAGACACTCTACCTCACCACTGGCACCAGATGCTCAAGGAGCAAGGCCAAATCAGCCAATAATTAGAATAGGGAGGGAGGATTTTCCATCGTTTAGGTCCATTAAAAATACATATAAAAACTGTGGTTGAGGCATGAAAAAAAAAACAAATAAATAGAGCTCCCCTATACACTTGACTCCTGATTTCAAGCTGCATCTTGTACCATCAAGCCACGCATAGGTCTTCTCGACTCATCCCTGTTGGTGTAAGAGAAAGCTCACGGGCCTCAGTCACCCCCACCCTCCATGTGGCCATTCCTGAGGCATTCAGATGCCCTACAGGGGCCACATCCCCTTCTCCAGAGGCACCAAAGAATTTCCTCCATGCTCCAGTGATGGCCTCCTGAACCCAGGCAACAGCCCTTCCAATGGCTTGAACCAGGAAGCTGAGCAGCCAGGCAAAGTTACACCCAATGCAGGCAGGCACACAGACAGACAGACAGACAGACAGGACACACACACCCCCAGCAAATACACAGATCTCAACAGAGCCAGAAATGGCAAAGGAAACCAGCACGGACAGCTGCTGGTAACCAGGGTCACCAGCCCCGCCCACACCAAGAATGACTCCCAGCCCATCGCTGATCAAGAATGGATTGAGGACAAGCTGTTTCTCTCACACAGGTGTTTGCCAAGAAGCAAACCAGGCAGAATCCCTTGCCATTCAGTATGCATCTTCCCCCTCTGGTCGTGCCTCTCCCTCCCCAGACATGTCTCTGCTTCTAGGCCCGGGTCAAAGGTTCTGCACATTTCATTTCCCTGTGGATGCAGTTCTCAGGCATGGCCCAATTTCCAGAGGAACCTGAGAAGAACTGGACAGCCCAAGCTCCAGGTAGAGTAAACCCAGCTCCTGGACTCTAGAGGACGGTCGTCTACACGCCTCTGCCCTCTGATGGAAGGGCCTTTAATTTACATGTAAACCCTCAAACAGAAGTGCTAGGCTCAGGTCACGCAGCTTGTTCTTAAAAGGCAGCAGACCCGGGCACCCAGCCCACCCCCAAAGATGGACTGACAGAGTACAAGCCCAGCCAGGGCCGTGCTTGATGGACCTGGCTCAGTCCTACTCCCTGCTCCCTGGGGTGTGGTTTTGGTCAAAGACAAGGATCCAGAGCCGCCCCACAGAAACCTCTGCCTCAGTTCTCCCCAGGGGCCACCCACTTCACCCAGGCTAATTTTAAACCCTTCCTCAAATGGCTCCTTTCTGGCCAGACCTCCCTAGAGGCCCCCTTAAATAGCAAGTTCTCAGCATAAAATTTCCTGCTTGGGTTGCGGGTGGGGTTGAGGGTGAGTATGGGGGAGCTTTCCCTCATTCCCAGCTCGGAGCCTTGTTTCCAGCCTTCCCTCTGGGCCAGATGACCCTTTTCCTCTGTTTCCACCTTTTAGGTCCCGAAGTGTCCAAAATACTACCATCTGGCTACCACCCCATCTCCGGCCAGCTCCCAGAACACAAGCTGAGGTCAGGCGATTACGGATTAGGTGGTGGGTCCCCAGCCACCAGGTCGCAGATAGCCTACCCTGTATACTCACTTGACCCTAGCGTCACCGGCAGATGATGTGCCCTCTGCCTATCCCCTTGCGCTGACAGGGAAACTGAGGCCCAGAAAGGGCTCATACAGCTGAGCTCACAAGGGAGCCGAGTTGGGTAAGATCCAGGCACCCTGACTTATCCATCTATGCCACCAGCAGTCCATCCTACTGTGGGGGCAGGGGGAGCGGCATCAAGGCGGCCTCACTAGCCTTCACCGGTGGGTGAAGTTCTGTCAGTTCGGTAGGTGGTCCCTTCCCCGGGCACCTGTTTAGGACGCTGGAGTGATGGGGGAAGAGCAAGAAGGAATCAGAGGTGGAAGGAAGCGTCAGCCTAGCCTGCTGCTCAGCTGCTGTGGAGAGGACAGGAGGTTGCAGAGACCACCCCCTTCCTGCTTCCAGCTCTGTCCAGTCCTGCCCCCCAACAAGCACCCCCACAGGCCTGTCTCAAGGCAGCTGTTTGCGCTACCCCTAAGCGCACCCCTCCCTCATTCCCTAACTGAAGGGCTCTCATCTTTCGGGTCCCTCTGTCTCCTCACTCCCCTTTCCTTCCCCTGAAGTCCTATGGGGCCAGGATGCCCTGCCTTCTATTGTTCCCACAATCTAAACTTCTAAACTTACCCCCTGCACCTGCACTCTATAAAACCCCCAGAGATAGGAGCCAAGTCTCAAAACCTTCCCATCCCCCATGGGGCCTAGAGTCACGCCTCCGCATTTGAACTACCCACCCCTCCCACCCCATCTCTGTGCCCCTCAGTCCGTCCAGATGAAAGACTCCCAGCCAGGGGCAGGTGTGGCCCGGCAGGGCACAGGGACACCACACGGGGGAGAGCGCAGGCTCTGGTCGGTTACACCAGAGTTTGCCTCCCAGCTTTATGCCTGGCTTGGGGAAGGGCTGTCATCTCTCCAGAGCTCAGTTCCTCCATCTGTACAATGCAGATACCATCTACCTCCAGGATGAAGAACTCACTCTCCTCTATGCCCAGCACGTAGCAGAGGCTCAGTGAAATGCTGGTTCACTTAGGGCTCCTGTAATCACAGCACTGACCTGCACAAAAACCTCCCCTATCAGGGGCCATGAGCCATGGATTTATAAAGTTGCCTAGTGAGTCTGGATTGGGTCCAAGTCAGTCTGGAGCTGGAAATGCAGGTGAGTGAACCTTAAGTAGTCACTGGATTCATTAATGTTCCTCTTCTCTAGAGAGGGAATGGCCAAGGTGGGAGGCACCATGGAGAGCAGCTAGTTCAGCACTCTCACTCTGCAGATGAGGGAACCAAGGCTCAGGATAGGAAGGTGACACAGCAAGCTGATGGCACAGTCAGGTCCTTTAGGGGACGGCAGGGACAGAGACATACAGTGACTTCTCCAAGGCCTTGCCTACTAGTTGTGTCCCAGGCTTGCACTGGAGACTCCTCCTTCTCTGCCCCCACTGATGCCAGCCTCATGGCAATAGGGTGCGACACGCAGGAAAGAGCTTTGGTACAGACAAGGGTTTGGGCACCAACTGCAGGTTGATGCCAAGCTAGATAGAATGGGGCGCCTGGGTGGCTCAGCAGGTTAAAGCCTCTTGCCTTCGGCTCAGGTCATGATCTCAGGGTCCTGGGATCAGGCCCCGCATCAGGCTCTCTGCTCCGCGGGGAGTCTGCTTCCTCCTCTCTCCGCCTGCCTCTCTGCCTACTTGTGATTTCTATCTGTCAAATAAATAAATAAAATTTAAAAAAAAAAAAAAGAGTTAAGCTAGATTAACCAAAGCACCCACATCCTGCCTACTCTATGTGTTCAGTATAGGAATTCAACAACAAAAACGTTTTATTAAAGTATTTGAAGAAAACAGAAGGGGTGGTTCACACAATCCTGGGCTGCTAGAAGGCACCAACCTTGTTGCCTGGGCCCTTCTCCTTCCATACACTCACCCTTTCTCCAGAAGTATCCAGAGAACGCAAGGGATTATCTCCCCCATCCTGAAACATCTAAGGCAACAGTGCTGGTGGATGGTGCTGGACCACAACCACAACCTCAGTGCAGGTGGAAGGTAAGTTTGGAACAGGGTAGGGAGAGTATCAGGAGAGAAGTGGACAAAAGTATGGAGAATCTTTAGAAGTCAGTGAAAGAAGAAACATGTTGAAGAACAGCTCTTCTGGTGGAACTTGCTAGAACTACCATGTCCACATGGACAAGGAACTTGGCCAGAGAGGTGTGCCCACTAAAGACACTGCAGACATGGCTATGCCGCCTTCATGATGGTCAGGAGCAGACCTGGTCTTGCTGGAGGTCCCAGCCAGCCCCAGGTCTGCCTGGAGGAACCAAATGGCCTTTGGCACAACTGTGTCCCCCCCCACCCAGCAGGCTCTGGGGGCTCCTGAGGCTGTTCTTCCTTTAGACAAATCCTGCTGCCTGTCCTTCCCCCAAAATGCTGGAAGCAAAGGGTCGAGGAGGTCCAGTCTCATTCAAGTCCATGCCCCAGGCTATCACTGGAGGTCAGACTTCCTGAGGTTGTCCAGCTCCTCGCTAGGGTCCCTCCAGGGCTGGGAGGAAGAGCCCTCACCTTCCCCACAGGAGACCCTTGCGTTCACTCTGG